TTTTTTGGACCATTCTCGATTTATGTGTGTCATCCTTGCGCAGGGGCCATGCTAATCTTCTCTGTATCGTTCCAACTTTAAAGGATGTCCCGAAGGACGAAATTTCTCAAGATTTCTGAAACTGAATGTTGGCGAAATTTGCATGCAAGTGCACTTTTGCCTTGCTGCATTATAATTTTTTTAATTTTTAAAAAAAAAATTTGGGTTTGTTTTTTGCAGTTAGTAACTATGGTCTCCGCTCTATGACCCTTAAATTTTGTTATAAATGGCATGACAATTTGTCTGAAAATGAGGGCCTCTGTTAACCGCCTCTCGTTCTGGAACCATGGTCAGGTTTTGGTTCACTGTCCCCCTTTTGCGGTGTTGTGTACATTTGTGCCAATTTTGTGGTGAACAGAGGAAGTGGGTAGACTGCAGATTTCAACTGGCACAATCCCAAGGGCTTGGGGGCCCTGTAATGCAATCAGTAGACTCATTACTGCAGTAATGGTTCCCGTTTACTGTAAAGAGAGTCAGCTCTCTTCCGTGGGAAAGGGAATTGCTGTGGTGTTTGCATGAAGTCGTTCTGACACAACAACCTTGTCAGAGCTTGGAGTTGTTGAGCAACTTTCACCACAGCTATGCAGTTACAGGTTGGTTGCTCTGCCTGCTGCTGTAGTGTCTGTGCTGAAACACAGTGAGACTAACAGTAGCACTGGGTTTGCACAGGTGAGATTGGAGGCACACATGCAGGCCGTACAGCAGTGCATGTGGGAGCCACTACCATCCTAGCATGAAAGCCGGGAGAAGAGGAAACTCGGGGCCAGAGCTCACAGCAAGTGCAGGTGTCGATTTTCTGCAGCATCAGCCCAACTGCACCACGGCGGATTGTACGCTGAAGCGGAGTGGTGGCATTGTACGCACAGAAAGCGAGGTCTGCGCCAACTCACAGGGAGCGAGGTCTGCTCGGGCAAGGCCATTGCCTTCTCCATCGCCATCGCTGAAGCATTTCTCTCCTGTGTCACCACGTGGTGGAACAGCAGCAGTGGGAAAAGGACAGGGAGAGGTAACGGCTGGGCGTAATCTGACTGCAAGGAGGACGGAAGCAGCAGGGTTTGTGAGCAAGGAGTTGCCATCAGTGGCAAAGCCAGCTAGTGGGGGTGTAAGGGGGCTCCGAGGGCCTGGAGCAGCTAGGGTGACCAGTCCGTCATTGGCAGCCACAGGTGGCTTCACAGTGAAGGGAAGTAGTCCTTGCAAACCTACTGGCACTCGCAGAAAGTCGGATGCAGTTGGGCATGGAACACCGCGAGTTGGATGCGGAATTGGACGACAGGATATTTCACGATGTCCACAGCGATCCTCATGGGCCAGTGGCCTGCCCAGCAGCAGTAGGCCCGTGGGAGGCACTGGTGCAGGAGGAGCAACCCAACATCGAAGGGTCAAGGAGCCCGACAGGGAAGGATGTGTGGAGGCAGGAGTCCATGTTCGAACCTGGGCTGTACCGTCAGCTGCTGGATCATTAGCTTCACCAGCAAACGGTCACATTGATCAGCAGCAAGAGATTGAGGGACGAGAACGATTAACAACTGTCGAGCGAGTTTGCCAAGAGGGTGAAGGCATCCGTATTAGTGATCCATGTAGGCTGAACCTTGATAGGGATGTTGATACTGAATGTAGCGTGGTGCAAGTTGGGGGAGGGGAGGAGGATGTTGGTGAGATTGCTACTACTAGCCAGGCTTTTTCTGATCCACCTCCAGCTGTGGGAGCGACGGGTTCCAGAGCTCTTCGGCGGCAAAGGCGTGGTGGAAGCAAGGTTGAGGCCGTACTGGGAAGGGAGTGTGAGGGCAGTGAGAACCTCACACTACAGTCCAAGCTTAAAGGTATTGAGCCTTCCTCATTAGGCTCCAGTGTTGGTAGTAATGATGAGCCTGAGGCAGCACAGATAGTTCCGCTGGTTCTAGTTGAGGGGAAAGCTCCCCAACAACTCGGCAATCGGGGGGAACCTGTTCGAGATGCTCTGGCCACACAGGAAGTGCCGTCTGGTTGCAGACATGAAGTTCCTTTTCTGTCCACCAAGCGTGTAGCTGGATCAGGTCCCTTGATCAATGTGCAGGAGACACAGTTGGCTTCTGGCTCAGTCGGGTGGGAAGCTCCAGTTACTCTTACACCAGGAATACAAGGTGCTACCTTGGTGGATGACGGTTTCAGAAGGTCTTCAGGCTCTGTTGACAATTGCAATGGAACTCTTAAGGCAAGGAAGCCCAAAGCAGCTGATGAAACAACAACGCGTCCGAAGAGATTACCTACAGGGCAACTCAGTCGTTTGGATGGCTGCCATGAGATAGGGAGCCAATCCTCTTCAGCGCAAGGCTGTATCTCCCTTGGTTCAGCCGCAACTGATAGGTTCTCCACACACAGTCGGGGTCGTGGTTCTGGTGCTGTTTTGCCTCATGCAGAACAAGAACATGACCTTGGCACAATTGATATTGAATTGAAGCCACAGTTTGAGAAGGAACTCCTTTCTGCTGCTTCTGACGGAAATCCTCAAAGCCACCTGACTCAGGGCCTTGTTCGTCTGGGTTGCCATGAACAACAGCCAGTTCACTGTTTGGATTTTAGTGTCGACACTGGTCTTCTGCAAAGATCTTCCTTTGCTGAATGGGGGGACCAGGCTCCCATTCTTCCTGTAGACAGTGTTGCATCAAATGGATCTGCCCTTGCCCAAGCTAAGGTTCAGTCTTGCATCCATTCTCATGTTCAAGTCGAGATATTGCCTCACCCACCTGTGGGGTCTGAGGGGCCTGCATCGCTAGAAAAGGCAACAACATATGGAGTCCCGGATAAGAGCATGTCGTATGCAGTCGATCTGGAGAGGAGATCAGGTGCAGGAATTAGTATAGGTGGACTTGGTTTGGGTGAAAGATTGACTGCCAGTGGGGCGGCGGTGTCATCCCCAACGGCCCACATTCCAGTATTTCCAGGTGGAGGGAATAGATCTTCTGAAAGGCCACACTGTTCCCATGTCAGTGGAGCACTTCAGTGTGCTGATCGGAGGTTTCAGGTAGGGAAGGCCGAGGAAAAAGAGGGCAGGGTCGGCAAGGGTGAAATCGATGGACTGTCACACAAGGGCAGGGTTGCCTTGCCCAGGGATCATGCTCTATTATCCGTTACTGCCAATTCTCTCGGCTATCGGATGGGTGACAACAACACTCGACAGTCTTACAGTATGCCTTTGCCAGTGACTTCCCAGAATGAAGTAGGAAAAAAACAGGAATGGAGGCCAGAGGAGAGGGTTTATGGACTAGACAGTGAAGCAGAGGGAGTGTGCGAACCTGAGGAAGGATCGGGGGCATTACATGCTCCAAGTGGGGTGCGGGTAGAGGTGAAACTGCAGTCCAAAATCACTCAGAGGCCCTCTCCATCCAATTTGTCAGGGAAATGGCTAGCTTCCACCAATGATGACATAGCTCCCCACGAGACGTCCACAACCACCACCCCTGTGCGGCGTCGTGTGCTGGGCACTGTGCAGCACCCTTTGACAGCAGTAAAACGACTTGGGAAAACTGCGGGTGATTCAGTTGGAGAACTCGACCAGGGTCAGGTTGCAGCTTCTGGAGGATCGCTGAGAGCATCAAGAATACCTGAGTCAATGCACCCGCCATGGATGCAGTCCAGCATGCCAGAAACAAGACACGATATGTCTCAAGAGATTGATGATGTCCCTGATGATTCTCAGACAGGAAGGGGCAGTCTTGGTCCTGCAGGGGGAGAGGGCAACAGGCTTCAGAAGCAATCATCTTCCTTAAGTAGACCTTTGGGTGGTAAGCCAGCTGGTGTGGTGGAAACTGGAATGGAACCGTATCCAGGTCTTCAGGGAATGCCCGGCTGTTTGTGTGGTCAACTGTTCAAGGGGGTCTGCCGCGATGTCCGACTACGAATCCCACAGTATTTCAAAGACTGGCGTGATGATCACCCAGTGAACACTGTGAAAACAATTATTTACTTGCTATTGATAAGTATTGTGCCAGCATTGGCCTTGGGAATGTACCTGGAGCTCCGGACAGAAGGGAAAACGGGTGTCATTGAGGTTATCTCCTCCATCTCCTTGTCTGGGTTGCTGTTTAGCATCGTGGGAGGGCAGCCACTTCTGAGGTTGGGTGTGAGTGCTCCCTTCTGCTGCTTTCTTGCCTTTGTCTACTCCTCTTCTGTTCGCCTCCACGTCGAGTTCTTGCCCTGGATGGGATGGATAGGGATATGGGCAACCAGCTTTGTGATCATGGCTGCAGCAACAGACGGTTGCTGCCGCCTGAGCCATGGGGTAACTCGTTTTACGTGGGATGCTTTGCAAGTTTTCTCATCACTGTGCCTGATTTGGGACGGAGTTGCCTCCATGATTAAGACCTTTCACAAGTTGCCCTTAGGTTCAGCTGCTGTGGGCCTGTGGTTGGCTGGTTCAGTGACAGTGGCAACAATTTTCATTGGTGCGGCTGACCGTTGGCCCTTATTCAAGCAGGCCTTCAGAGCTAGGCTGGCAGCTGCTAGTCCACTTATTGTTGTGATTTTCTTTACAGGTGTGTGCAGGTGTGTCTCCTCTGCATTTCCCTCTTGTCTTCCTGGTTACCCTTCACCACATGTGATCTGCTACCCTGACCTTTCCCTGCTTTCTCTCTAGCATATGCCCCACTGCCCTAGCGAGACCTTGTTCTATACCCCCTAGTGTTATTAAAGAAATCATTCAAATCAACATCATATGCATCAGTAGTATTCCTCTCGTTAGACTGTAGCACGACCATATGTTGCTGCCTTCTTTCTGTCTGTCTGTCTGTCTGTCCCTCTCCCTCCCTCCCTCTCTCACTATCTTTCTCCTTCTCTAACTCCAACTCCCTCGCTCCCTCCCTCACCCCATTCCTCCCGCACCCATCTCTTCTCCCCTCATCTCTATTCCTCTGTTATTGATTTCTCCTATTCCTACCTTGCTCCCCTCTCAAGCCCTTTATCTAGATTGCTCAAATCAGACATGAGTGATCTGGAAGAACATTCTGAAAACCGAACTTGGCGACCTGAAGGGAGTCCTAGTTGCATTTAGAGGACTGGGTAGAACCCAAGCTTGTTGCCATGATACCCTGATTTCTTGGCCAACAAAACACGAGCTTAGGTGTCAATAAACTTTTCTCAAAACCAAAACTCAGTCATCCTCGTCCTGGAATTTGTGCCCTATGATAAATTGAAAGGATTGGTAATGTAACGGATACTCGAGAGAAGAATATAGCTGGTTTTTTTTTTTTAAATAAAAAAGGAGGGTTTCTCGTGTGTCAGCACTCTGTCCCAAGCCCCAGTCCCGAAGTTCCAAAGTTCCATGTACCCTAGTACCATTCCGGTAAGCAGGATAGCTAGGCCAGGACGTACGCCGGTCGATGTGGTAGGCGGAGCTCATTCGGTTGTCCAGTAGGTCAGTCCAGTCAGGTCAGCAGCTCAGTCCCAGGAAAGTAAGTGACTCTTTGGATGCGTTGCAGGCTGACTGTAGCGGACAAGTGAGGGTACTGGTCCAGAATGGCCCGGATTGGAGGCTGAAGGGCGGGATACAAAAGTCGCACTGCAGAATGGCGTCAGTACTTTGGCCATTCAAGCTTGTTGTGGGAGCGATGCTGTCGTCTTGTGCGGCTGAGTATCGAGTGCGGTTGGAAGTAGTCTAGAGGGTAGTCAATGGTGCTCGCTGCCATAGCAGTAGCTTAAGAGAGAGATCGACAGATTGAGGAGGACAATCAGAAACTGAGCGAGGCCTGAGGGTAGAGGGAGGGGAGAGAGAGAGAGAGAGAGAGAGAGAGAGAGAGAGAGAGAGAGAGAGAGAGAGAGAGAGAGAGAGAGAGAGTTCATACCTGAGTGGTGTTGTTGGTGGCCATCCGTACCTGTGTACATACAATGGAACTGATTTCCATACAATTTCTGACGTTCTCGTATCTTGTGTTAGTTTCCATCTTTTGTGCGAACTTTCATCTGATAACGTGTTACTTCTCTGCGTGGTGAGTTGCTGTGTGAATTGCTGGCTGATTGCAATAAGTATTGGAGCTGACTCTCGTTATCTTTCATCTCGCGAACTGGTGTATTGGTGCCATGCTGGGTTAAGTCTGGCAGGCATAGTGATCAATCGGTGGCGAGAAATAGGGTTGGCCGTTGAGAGCACCTGGCAATTTGTGTGGAGTGGAGAGTAATCATGGAGCATCATCAATCAGCGAATTCAAGTGGTCCTTTCGGTAGCCCTAGCCTTGTATGCATTGCGTGTTGCGCGTTTGTGTCATTAAATAAGCCCTGATTCGGACTCTGGCCCTCCCTCTTGGATCTTGTTGTAGATAGGTAGGTGACCGTAGGTTGACTTTGTGAGCGAACCGAGGTTGCAGTCGCTGCATGGGCATGAGAGGCGGGAGAGGCGGCTGCTCGCTAAACAACCTGTCTAACCCCAGGAACTGGTACTGACCAGCGGAGACAAAGACCAAGGTCAGTGAAAACAGGCCGACAAGTCCAAAGTGTCGAGGTAATAGGGCCTGGATTCTCTTATGAAACGGTTCGGGTATTATCAGTGTGGCCACATTGTCCTGTTTGCGGCATTAAAGAATTTCTGAGGACTTACGGCCTCTCCTTGAATAGGCTGTTGGCCAGGTTGGGCAATGTCATAGTCCGTTGGTCAAAGTCAACAAATTTGGGCTAGAAAAAGTAGAGTCTTATGTGGTAGGAAGTAGTGGAACAGGGTCAAACTCGGACGTCCTGTTGTACCTCCAACAACCATGGACAACCCTCTCATATTGTTTCTCGTTATCCTCTCTGTCATCTGGCAGCCCTTGCTGTGATTTCTCTTCCTGTTGAGTTTCTTCCGGGAGAGTCGCATGGGAGTGATGGAGATGTGAAATTGGAAGCTGGTTCACCAGCTGGAGGATCCAGTGTACAAAAAAGAAAAGAAAAAGGAGGAAGACAAGGACAAGAAGAAGGGAGAAGAAGAGAAGAAAAGAGAGAAGAGGAGAAGGAAGGAGAAAAGACGAGAAGGAAGGAGAGAAGAGGAGAAGGAAGGAACTCCTAACGAAGGGACAAGTGGGGAGGCAAACGAGGAGGAGAGCCCCCTGACCGAGGAGGAGGCGAAGAAGAAGCTGGTGAGAGTGTTTGTTGCAAAACAAGGTACAGGACCGAAAAATCGCCAATGTGAGCAGAAACAGCAATGCAAAGCAGCAGCAGACTGAAAAGAGCTATAACTCCAGAAATAGTAACCAAGTCTTGGATATCTCTTTCTCGATACAACTTGGAAGAGGGGGTGGATATGCAGGGTGGTGAGAAGAAGAAGAGAAGAAGAAGAAGAACTCTTCCCTCTCTCCCTCTCTTTGATGTCATCAGAGTAGTGACCAGTGAAAGATGAAGTCTTGAGCTGTGCGAGGATTTCAGCCCCTTAGTGTTGGAAAAGTCCTTGCCCGCCCCAAGTGAAGGCGGGCCTACAAATATGCGCCTAGGCCTGAGTACAGGCCTTTGTCCCCCTAGAAAGGGGCAATGCAGAAGGCCACAGGAGGTTGTTGAAAGGCTTGCGCCTGTTGGAAATCATTTGCGGGCTTGAAATCCCGTCGGGTTCTAACCAGGGGTTTGCTGAGTCCATGCATCACGCCAGACAGTTACAGCACGTGGATGCTGTGTGACCTACTTGCCAAACCTGAAGCTGGGCAGCCACGTTGGGCAGTTGAACCCTCCAACCGAACGGGGCCCTCGCCATGTTTGGTAAAGGCTCTGGGCGGGTACACTTGAGCCTCACCTGCTCACTCAGGCTCTGGAGGCAGGCCGTGCCTGTGTGACTAGGCCCTGCATATTTCCAGCGAGAGCCTAGAGGCCGACATGTCGCACAACAGCCGTGGACCAATGAAAATGCAGATGCGTTGTCACACACTGGCTATGAGCCAATCAGAATGCAGCGAACACGTGGAACCGTGTCGCACACTGGGCCTGCCTAACTGCATTGGGCCCAGGCCAGTATCTGATCTGGTCCTGGGCGCAGACACTTTGGCCCAACAGAAAGCTACTGGGCCCACGGCCAGCTAGCACTTTCCATAAATGAAAGTGCCCTTCGCCCAGCCAGACGTCCTTGCCGGAGGCAACCTGACGGCCACGCTGCTGGTTTGGGCGCGGGCAGGCGGCTGGGGTGCTGGCTGGAGAGCGCACACAGGCGCTAGTGGTGCAAGTGGGGGCGCTGCAAGTGGGCAGCAGGCATGAGCGGCCATAGCCAGTCCTGCTCGTGGTGGCTGGTGATGGTGATCGTGGTCTTCGGGTGTCGGGGATGCACACTGTGGGAGGGTGAGGCAGAGAGGAGAAGAGACACATACCTGGTGTATGTTGGGTGAGGCAGAGAGGAGAAGAGACACATACCTGGTGTATGTTGGCAGTCTGCATTGGCGACGTCGTCGCGCACATTGGTCTTCAGCTTGAAGTGACTCTGGATACGCAGTGGTAGGCTAGGTAGTAGCTGAGTGGGATAGGCTGGGCTCTGAGCACCAATCAAGACCGGAGACATTGGGTACTATGTTGGTGTGGCGAGAGAGTGGCTGTTACGGACTCCGCCAGGGCTTGATCCCTGGTCTATCTTTTTGCTGTTTCGGCTGCATCCCGTTTTCGACCTGGCACCCTTTTTCCAAATCCCTCCTTTGGTACCGTAGGATTTTGGACAACTGGCGCCATGCTGCAATTCGGGCGCCACTTTCAAATACCGCATGTTTCAGTTCTGCCCTCGGGGCCTTTGCAGAAATGCCCCTGGTACCGTACATGTCACCAGTACTTATACCGGCTCCCCGTATGGTACGGGAACCAGTCTCGTACCAGTTTCCTGCTGTACTCGTACTCAGTGTGACTTGCTACGACATGGTGTTCGGAAATCCAAAACTTTGACTTTGCGACTTTGCCACATCGTGTCTGCGTCAGTCGAGTCTTGTCGAGTCTGCGTCGAGTTGAGTGAGTGTGTGTGTGTGCTCTCACTATCTCCCTCTGTCTCTCAGCCTCGTTGCCTCAGCCCCGTCACACTGGTATCGGAGCGGTTCGAACCCGCCCGACCCACCCTGCTTCGTCGTCACCACCTGGCCATCATCATCATCATCGTTGTGATCGTCATCGTAGCACCACGTCATTGTCGTGACCGTCGCCGTCGTGGCATGTCATCATCGTCATGGTCGCGATCGTCGTTGTCGTGCCATGACATCATCGTCACCGTCGCGCTCGTCGTCAACATGCCACGTCGTCCTCGTCGCCGCGCCTTGCCATCCTCGACATCGTCGTTGCCACCAAGCAGACAAGTAATCGATGACAATTTTCTTTTTATTATTTTTCTTCTTTTCTTCTTC